GTTTCACTATAGTTTTACCCTTGTTTTACTAACTAGTTTTACTATGGTTTTAGTATTCATTTAGTTAAACTGCAGTAAAACTAAAACAATGGTAAAACATTTGTTCTGCCTCTGTTAAAGACGAAAGTGTGCTGTTTATGTTTTTCCTTTCATTTGATTTAGTTTTACTCGGTTCAATGGTTACTAAGTTAGTGTCAATACAGCAAGAATCCAGCTCATAATCCTGGCTCTTGAACAGAGTTTGGCTGGCTGTTTATTTATATCACACGCAAGAAAGCAAACATATAAAGAATAGTACAACAATATTAAAACAATAGTAAAACGATGATTCCCCATCTAGGTAACTTCAACACTGCGTCTAACCAGAACGCTAGGGGAACGTTCGAGGTTACTAAAGTAACCCTTCGTTCCCCCTTTGATGTTCTAAATCCACGTATGGGAGGATTCGGTTTAGAAGCCGCTCGTCTGAAAGAGTATTGAACGGGCCAATGAAAGCAATGAATTGGCAGCGCAAGCATGACACCAACCATGAGAGGGCAGTCAGGCAAGCGTGACGCACCCAAATCATGAGAGGCGCGGTCCTCCAACGTGCCCTTGGCCCTAACTTATCCCACTTCAAAAGAAGCTTTACGGAATAGGTATATTTTTTTGGGAGTGCTAGCGTCTAGATAATTCTAGGAAATACGACAGTACGTTGGGAAGCGTGCCATCCCAGTAGGGAGGATGCTGCGGAGACCATCCGCACCCAATAGGGAAACAAATGGTATTACATATGGACTAAACCTGAGAAGGGGGATCACCAGCGGGGATCGGCCATAGCAGTCACCTGTACCCAAAAACGCGGGCTGACCAGCGGGCAGACCTAACGTAGTGGGCCAGCAAGTGACTCCTCCGCTGAGTCAGTGCTGGGGGCCTCGGAGGAATCTGCAGGGCTCACCGAATGGGGAACTTTACTGACAGACAGGAGGGTGCACATCTTTCCGTGTTAGGGAAAAGGCACCGCAAGCGTGCTACAACACCTACCGAGTTGTTTCCTCAATCACCAAAGGTCCCTAACACCCTTGAGGAAACCGGCTCCACTCGCAGATTATAAAACCTTGCAAATGTGTTGGGTGTCGCCCAGCCCGCAGCTCTACAAATGTCTGTTAAAGAAGCGCCGCGCGCACACGCCCAAGAGGATGCAACGCTCCGAGTGGAGTGCGCATGCACTCCCGGGGGGCGCGGCTGACCTCTGTTCAAATAAGCACATGAAATGGCCTCCACAATCCAGTGGGATAAACGTTGTTTAGACACGGCACTTCCCTGCTGCCGTCCGCCATAACAGACAAAGAGCTGCTCAGAAGATCTAAAGTTCTGAGTACGATCCACATAAATGCGCAGAGCGCGAACTGGACAAAGTAGGGACAGGGCTGGGTCTGACTCCTCCGGGGGCAGCGCTTGCAGGGTTACTACCTGATCTCTAAAAGGAGTGGTAGGAACTTTGGGCACATAACCCGGGCGGGGTCTCAGGAACGTGAATCCGGCCCGAATTCCAGGCACGAGTCACTGACCAAAAATGCCTCCAGGTCCCCGACCCTCTTAATGGAGGCCAACGCGACCAGCAGAGCTGTCTTCAGTGACAGAACTCATAAAGATACTGTATCGAGTGGCTCAAAGGGATCAAATCGCAGGCTCGTGAGAATGAGGGCGAGATCCCAAGAGGGCGTGAGAGGGGGGCGAGTTGGATCAATTCGCCTAGCGCCTCTGAAGAACCGGATGATGAGGTTATGCTTTTTTGTCATGGTGAGCGGAGATGGCGGCAACGTACACCTTGAGAGTGGAGGGCGACAGCCTGCTGTCCAGCTTCTCTTGAAGGAAAGAGAGCACAACACTGATCTGGCAAGATCGGGGGTCTTCTCTGCGAGAGACACACCATTTAGTGAATAGACTCCACTTCAGGGCGTAGGCGCGCCTCGTGGAGGGGACTCTAGCCTGAGTGATGGTATCAACTATCGCGGGCGGCAGGTTACCTAAGTCTTCCTCGCGTCTATGGACCACACGTGGAGGTTCCAGAAATCGGGGCGAGGGTGCCAGATGGTGCCTTGTCCCTGAGAAAGTAGGTCCTCTCTCAAAGGGATCTGCCATGGGAGGGCCGTCGCGAGGAGGGAGAGCTCTGATATCCAGGTCCGGTTAGGCCAGAGGGGCGCAACTAGCAGAACCTGCTCCTCGTCCTCCCTGACCTTGCACAGTAACTGCGCGATCAGGCTCACTGGGGGAAACGCATACTTGCGTATGCCCCGAGGCCAGCTGTGGGCCAATGCATCCGTGCCGAGAGAGCCCTCAGTCAGGGAATAAAACAACTGGTAATGAGCGTACTCGGGGGAGCAACAGATCGATCTGGGTCTCCCCGAACCGCGCCCATATCAGCTGGACAGACTCGAGGTGGAGTCTCCATTCTCCAGAGTGAATCTGCTGCCGTGAGAGCACATCGGCTGCACGGTTGACCATACCTGGGATGTGAATGGCGCGCAGCGACTACAGCCGCGGGTGACTCCATAGAAGCAGACGGCGGGTGAGCTGAGACATGCGGCGAGAGCGCATACCCCCCAAACGGTTGATATACGCTGTTGACGCCGTACTGTCCATCCTGACCAGCACGTGTTGCTGCTCCAGCACCGGACAAAAACGGCGGAGAGCAAGGAACACTGCCAACAGCTCTAGGCGATTGATATGCCAACGCAGCTGGGCACCTACCCACAGGCCCGCAGCTGCATGCCCGCAACACGGCTCCCCAGCCTGTGCTGGAAGCATCTGTTGAGACAACAATATGACTGGACGCCTGTCCCAGAGGCACACCGGCCTGCAGGAACGAGGGGTCGTTCCAGGGGCTGAGGGTGCGGCGACACAACGCAGTAACAGAGACTCGGTGTGTGCCCGCATGCCATGCGCGTCTTGGAACTCGATCTTGAGCCAGTGCTGAAGTGGTCTCATATGGAGCAATCCGAGCGGCGTGACAGCCGCAGCAGAAGCCATATGCCCCAGGAGCCTCTGAAAATATTTCAGTGGGACCACTAATTTGCTGTCGAGCTCCCTCAGACAGTTCAGCAGCAGGCGAGCGCGCTCTCCGAAGAGGCGCGCTACCATGGTGACCGAGTCCAGCTCCATTCCGAGAAAAGAGATCCTCTGCACCGGAGTTTGCTTTTTTCCCAGTTGACCTGCAACCCCAATAGGCGGAGATGCCGGAGCACCTCGTCTCTGTGCGCAGTCAATTGCTCCCGAGAGTGGGCTAAAATCAGCCAGTCGTCGAGATAATTGAGTACGCGGATGCCCACGAGCCGCAGGGGCGCTAGGGCACCCTCCACGAGTTTGGTGAAGACCCGCGAAGACAGAGAGAGCCCGAAGGGGAGGACCTTGTACTGCCATGCTCGACCTTCGAACGCAAACCGCAACGAAACTGACGGTGGCGTGGAAGAATGGAGACATGAAAATACGCGTCCTTCAGGTCTATGGCTGCAAACCAATCCTGAGGACGAACGCATCGGAGGAAAGCATTCTGAACGACAGCTTGTGAAGGCAGCGTTTCAAAACGCGCAGATCTAGGATTGGCCGTGACCCACCGCTCTTTTTGGGTACGATGAAGTACGGGCTGTAAAACCCGCTCTTCATCTCGGCTGGAGGTACCGGCTCAATTTCAACCTTCGCCAAGAGGGCAGCAATCTCCTCTCGCAAGACAGGGGCAGTGTTAGAAATTTTTTACTTTTTAATTGTAGCTCTTTTATTTCTTTCTATGAATGTAGCTGTGTTATGCCCATGTATGTTATATAGTTGTGTCATGTTTATGTATGTAAATTAGCTGTGTCATGTTCATGTATGTACGTCAAGAGGGGCCAGGGTCTGTGGTGCCAAGGCCAGATAATACAGGATGTAAAGAACCACACCCGGCCAATTCCTAGAACACCAGTTGTTTACACATGTGTATAAAAGTGGTTGGAAGGAAAGAGTTGTTGTTGAAGATGGCCTGAACATACGTGAGGGACACCTCCAACCCGGAGCTCTGTATCTATTGAATTATTCAATTGTATTCATTAAATGGCTAATACTTTTGCATTGAAGAAAACCTCTCCTGACTCTTATTGAACACGCAGGGAAATGGCTAATGCCATTAAGAAATCCCAGCAATTGGTGACCTCCGACGTGGAGGGGGAGAGAACATTGATCTGTCCTGTTGCATTGACATCAAGGCATGCCAAAACATAAGGTAAGCAGAAAACCTGTTTTTATTCGAATTTCTGCTATTGGCTACCACTAAATTGATTGATGTCATGTGATATGTAGGATTGATGTAGTTAAAATTTTAAAGCATTTGAATAATTCGATGATTTTAAATGTATATATGTATTAAGTGTTGAGCAGAATTATTGTTGTCAGACTGAAAGTGAGAAAGTAAGAGGAAGACTTTGTGTAGAGCAGACAGTAGAGACTGTAGCTGCGGCATGGAAAAGAACATATAGTAGGTCTGTCATAAAATTCACTAAGTGAATCAGAACATAGGTTCATACACTTTGACTGTTTTTACTTATTCGATAGAATGAAAAATCAGATAAAGATTATGATCATACATTGAGTTGAAAAGGATGCAACATAATGGCATAATATTCAAGTGAATAGTTATATGAGCGGAGACTTGTGTTGACTGTGCCCGGTCCGTGACGACTGGCCGAGAAAAATAGGACTATAAAGGAGTGGAATTCCGATAAAATCAATGACGAGTGGTTTTAAACTTTTCTGGGGGCAGATCCCGACATTTTAGTAGGTCCTAGTGTCGAAGATAGGATTAGGGAAAGATTGTAAAAAAAGTAGGGGAAAGTTAGTTCGCTGATGAGATTGTGACTGTGTATGAAAATACATGGAATAAGTCAATTGCGTGAAGGCGAATGTAAATAGAGGAACGAGAACTGAGAAGTCTGGAGGGCGCGCATTTTTATTTTGTGTGAATGCTGAATGTTTGGTCGATCATTTTTGTAAGTAACAGCTTAAATGAGTAATCATATGCATATTTAGTAGGTTATAAAATCACATTTTTATATTGGATTAAGTGAAGTTTATGTATAAACAAATTTCGAGAGGATCACGTGCTTATGATTGCTAGCAGCTGACCCGCATTATCCAATTCACTACTATCCAATCAGATGACTCCTAAACTACTATAAATACCCTGGGGTTTATTCCATTGCTATCTTCGTTTTGAAGAGTCCCCCCTTCCTCCCCTACGCCTCCCTCTTAGACGGGTGACACGGTGGCCCAGTGCCTAGCACTGTCGCCTCACAGCAAGAATGTCTCTGGTTCCTGGCTCTACCAAAACTAGCAGACATTTCTGTGCGGAGTTTTGCACTTCTCCCCGTGCTCACGTGGGTTTCCCCCGGGTTCCCCGGTTTCCTCCCACCGCCCAAAAACATGCAATTAAGCCAATTGAACAAGCCAAATTGTCAACATAGACACGCTCCTAGTTAGTAATTAGTTTCAAGAGCATTCACTTGCTACAGCAGGGGAGTTCTCGAGATCTACCTGAGCTCAAACTCCCCTCCCGCTTTGCAACGGGAGGGAGCCCTGGGCTCGAGGATCTCATGAGCTCAGGGCTCTCTCCCGGGACAGCATGCCAAACAAGCTTATAATTAATCATCAGCTAAGTGTGAACTCTTGAAATGCCATTTAAAACTGAGATTTCAGTATTTTTGAAAGCCTAATAAGACTAAAATGGTGGGTGAATTTGATCAAGAATGTGAGGAGTATGAAAAAAAAGAGAAAGAAACAAATTTATAATTACAGTGGGGCAAAGTGAATCAATTATTGACTAAAAAAATATACATAAAAATAAAAAATAAAATAAAAAAAGTCTGCCTAAGGTGGGGGAAAGAATCTTTCTATTTACAGAATAGAGTCTGTGCAATGGCAAACAGAGGCAGAATAGCATAAAAGAGAATATCAAACTATTAGATCAGATAATAATAATAATAATAATAATAATAACAACAATAATAATAATAATAATATGATGATGATGATAAGACTACTACTAATAATAATAATAATGGGTACAATATAGGTTATTAAATAAATAAATTTTGTAAAGCAGTGTAATAAGATAAGTGAAATAAAGAAATGCCAAAAGTGAGAGTAGGATAAACTCAATATAGTTATATTAGTTGAAATGGAATGTGAAGCCATACGAATGAATATAGTAATAAAGAAATAAATTTACCAAATAAATAAATATGATTAAACAATAGATAAGTTAGTACATTGATTAAAATATACATGTATAATAGAAAATGATATAGAAAAAAATTACATTACAATGTAAAGACCAGCTAGTAAATAACTATTAGAATAGATAAAAAGAAATGGGGAAAGAATGAAGAAAATAACTTGGAGCTAAAGAAAAATAAGCCATTAAACAGCAAAGAGTTTAAATAGATAAATAACTTAGTGTATGTATAAATTATTGCAAGTAAACTTGGCTTAGTGAAGGTGTAAAAATAGAGAGAGAATTTGACAAAGTGTTTGAGGAGGATGAGACTTTGTTTTGAACTAAATTAAAAGTGCAGTGAGATAATGTAATTAATCAATTAATGAGTGGGACAGAGATAAATAAAAAGCATGAACTAAAAAGAAATTAGAGAAAGTCAGTATAATGTAAAATGTGCAAATGGCTGGGAAGGTGATCCAAGAGTGAAATTGGCTAGAGTCCTGAGAAATAAAGTCAAGTCTCATAAACAACTTAGAGAACATAGAGCAATAAAAAAATAAAAAATAAAAAAAAACCTCAAGGCTATTGGGGTGGCAGAATAAAAATAAATAAATAAATAAAGACATAAGTAAAACTAAAGAAAGAATGACTAAAAACTTCTCATTGTGCCACAATCTTGCTTTAGCAGATGAGGGGCACGCCCAAGAGAAAGAGCAGAAAAAGAGAAGTGAGCACTCAGACAGTCAGAGCAAGAGTGAGAAGAAATGGAAAGGCACTGAAGGCAGTGTTGGGGGTGTGTACCCTATGATAAAAGCCACTCCTTCTGCTCCTACACAAGACTATAGGGTGACAGACAGTAAGAAACTGTGGATGAATCAGAAGTTGGGTTCAGCACAAAAATTAATGCAGAAAGTAAGGGAAGCATTAACACAAGAATTAGTAAGTGATAATACAAGATCTAATGTGAAGAAATTAAGGCTCAAAGTAGAAGACATCGAGGGAGTAACAGAGGAAGACAAACAGGAAGAGGGGTCACTGAATGACACTAGAATTTCCCTATATCCTCTAATAGTGAAAAATGGTAGAGTCACGAATACCAGCCATGGTGCTTAACTGATATGCATGCTATTATGGAAAGAATTATTACATGTTACCAAAGGGGGAGACAATTGGCTAGCTAGAGTAATCTCGCTAACCCAAGGCCACAGATTAGGCTTTTTCAAAGTATACCGCGGTTTGGAAAAGTCAAGGTTTTAAAAACCGCCAAAAATTTTGATAATACCATTCCTCAGGTACAAGTAAGATCTTTTTATTGACATTTTTTCATTTTTAGTACCTCCTGCAGAAAATAAATCCAAAGATACTGTTTTAAATTAAAAAGAAGTCAGTGTTTTTGAAACAAATGAAGACAGCAGAAGTCAATAATTCTTTTGAATTACATATTCTGACATGTTTACTGCTCCAAAATAGCATAAATCTTTCGTTTTTTTATCCAGACAAGGGGAATATATTTTGGGGCAGTGAGCACAATACTGTGAAACTGTGATATTTTTGTCCAAGGTTATCATACCGTCAGAATCTCATACTGGTCCATGCCTACCACAGATTGGCAGTGGGGAACTTAAGATATATATTGGGGCAAATAATTTCTAATGGGGAACTGAGACAAATTGAACAGCAAGCTGACACTAATAGATTTTCATCAAGCATTCCTTTTGGCAAACGTAGCAACTGCTTGAGGAGCAGTGATTAGAAGAAAGTTTTCAGCACCAGCTGAGGCCATATGTAATATAAAATTGACCCCTAAGGCAAATGAAATACCGGCAGCTTATGTGATGTAGTGCAAACAGGAGCGGGAAGCCCAAACTGGGACACATCCTCTTGCTAACCCCATACATAAAGGGGTGTTTAGAGCAGTCATGGCTGAGAGTACGGAAAGCTGCGTCAAAGCAGCTCTTAAAGAAAAGCCAGATATACCAGGAAGTGCTCCTGCCACCTGTGAGAGACATTTGACACATCGTATGAACAGGGCTGACGAGAGTCTGAAATCAAGGAAGAAAAAACTATTATTAAAATTATGAACAAAGCTAGATAGGATGTCAATGGTCAGAACTAAAAAAAGTCAACAATTGGTGCTGTCACCTAAGCCTGAACAACCCTACATGGCACCCGTGTACAACCCAATACCTTTCAATTTAGAGGACAGAGTAGGGGAGACATGAGGGTTCAATGGGGTCCCAGGGCTGACAGGGGGCGAGAGCGTTGAGAGGGTTACTTCCTGTGTGGGTTACCCAACCATCAAGCATGTGACTGTCAAAGATGCTACACGTGCAATCAAGGGGAACATATTTCAACTAACTGTCTCCAAAGCCAGAACCAACAAGCCCACAGAGGGGGTATGCAAGAAGGCAGAGGCTTCATGGCACAATACACAGGGCTAGCTCCATCCCTGGTAGACAGAACCCAGGGCGGGGTGGAACACTATATCCACTCTGAGGAGCAAAAGGACAGTACTGAGGAAGCACACACAGAGACAGAAGCAGGGCTAGGGAGGAGCCACTGCTATCGATGGATTTTAACGAACACTATCTGAACTTTTTGGTTGACACTCGGGCCACATACTCAATGTTGGTCACCAAAGTCGACCAGGACTTAATTTCACATAAAAAAAAACAAAAAAAACTGTGGAGGATATGGCTTTCTCTGAGAAATGTGAATGTGAAAGACTGCCTTTAACTGAGCCTATATCAGTGTCTGTGGCTGGACAACAACTGAAACACAGATTTCTGTTATCAGACAGAGCCCTATGGACTTATTGGGCAGAGATTTGTGGATAAAAGTGGGTGCATCAATTCTGTGCAGTGCTGATGGTGTCATTGTAAGATTTCCCACAGGCCTCACCAAGAACTGTTCATTAAACACACCTGGCATGGAAGGACAGTGGCTACTGTCATCTGCATAAGAACCTGAGGAAGCTGACAAATACTGGAGCAAACTGTAACCAAATACCCCACAAGGAGAGGGCCAGCTCTCGCTCTATGCCTTATGGAAATCTTGGGTAACCCTTATTGCACCATACATGCCTTTCAGCGACCCAACACACATGACTTTATTCTATAACAGAAACCAAACCAAATGGGATTAAGAAACTTTTAAAGCAAATTGGAAGACTATTATTGGCAAATTGGGTGAAAGGGAATTTGGGTGGAAAAAAGGAGTAGGAGGGGCAATTTACTTGCCTAAAGAACATAGATAGTAGCATATGATGGGTCCAGAAGCAGAACCACATGTTCCATTGATTGTACATCCAGAGCACCAAGCTAAGGATTTAGGGCCAATGATAAAAGGATTGTCTAAATTGACAGATTAGGTTGCCACCAAAATATCAAATGTATTTTATTCACCATGAGATAAAGCATATCGAATTGATACATTGACAGTAGATAGCTTGACAGTGAAACATGTTTTAGTCACGAGATGGCATGGAAGGGACAGAACAGATCATGAGCTGACAGTACCAATGTTAGACCTTTTACCAAGCCAGTTATGGTCCAGGGGACCAACAGATGTGGATTTTTGTTCCTTGGCGTCAGACAATTGAATTGACTGAAAATAGGCTGATTTGACAGCCACACTATTCTTACAAGCCACAAGGTGAGACAGTCATTGCAGACACAATAGAAGAATTGATAACAGTAGGTGTGTTAGAGCCATCAAACTCACAACAGAATTTTACTCCAAATTTATCTGTAGAAAAACAAAATACAGGAAACTACAGGATGGCTCATGGAAAAAAAAGGTTAACACTATAGTGCAGACAGCCACATTGCCAATGCCAAAATCCATACACTGCACTATAAGCATTGAGTCCAGAACATGAGTGGTTATAGATTTAGCTAATTCATTTTTCTGTTTACCACTGGCACCAAAATTGAGGGACATATTTTCATTTACCTTTAGGGGGCAGCAATACAGGTACACAAGGGTACCTCTAAGTTTCATATTATCTCCAGGGTTGTTCAATCACACCCTGAGAGCTCTACTGAGCGATTGACCTTTGCCAGAGAGAGTGGTGTTGATCCAATATTTGGACAATTTACTAGCTGCAAAAACAGATAACACCAGTTTGAATGTGACTAAGCAGGAGTAATTATAAATATTTCAAAGTAAGTAAATCAAAATTACAAGTGTGTAGGCCACAGGTCACATTGATGGGACGAGTAGTGTCTGGACTGGGCATGGGAATATCGCCCAACCACCGATCAGTTATTTTGAAGAACAAAAAACGATGACTATAAAAGATATGCTATCATTTTTGGGCCTGGCTGGGTTCAGTAGACACCTCATACCACAATTCATTGATAGAACAACACCCATAAGACAACTCGTGTAGGAAAAGGGAGCTGGACAGTTGAATGCTACACTAGATTGGACAGCAGAAACAGAGAAGCAGTTCAGCAGCCAGTGTAGCTGATCTGGCTAATCTTGATTATAGGCTTCCTTTCTATTAAGATGTGTCAGAAACGACAGTGGAAAAGTATTGTTTCAGTAAAAAAAGGAAAAAGATGGTTTTGATGCATCTTAGCTTTTTAATGGACAAGGCAGAACAATGCCAGTTTCCATCTACAAAATTTGCAGCAAAGTTAAAAAAGATAATTCAGAAAACAGCACATCTGATCATGGGACATGAAGTCAAAATGTTGACATCACACTCAGAGATGGCATACGTAAATTATTTTGCAGTAACAATGTTATCGCTAAGACAGAATAGATTGTTAAAAAGGTTGAGTGCACCAACAAACCTGATTTTCACACATGAAGGCATCAACATGGGTGAATATATGGTCAAGGGAGAGCCACACAATTGCGAAGAGTTAGTCTTGGGGGATAGTAAGCTGAGACCAGATTAAAGAGCAGCAGTGGCACTGACAGGTGAGGTAGAAACTTGCAAACGGATGAGTATTGTTATAGGGATTCTGAAGTAGAATTGAAAGTAGGCTATGCAGACAAAAATCGGCACAGACCAAATTAAATTAGGTAAAGGCCTTAACAATTGAATGTATGGGTATTAAATCATCACTGAATAGAACAATGGGTTTTACTCCTTTTGCATTGTTGACAGGTCATCAGTATCCAGAACCAGGAGCAGCCTTGACATGCACTGACAGTGCACCGCTGATGAACAAGCCATATTATGACAAATTAACAGCTTTAATCTCAGATTTTTTTAAAACAGATTTCTGTGAAATGCCTGGAGGGGGCCTAAGAAAAAGTGGTGCCTACATCTGAATAGGTGTTGCTGAAGGTATTCGAGTAAAAGTGGGAGGAGCCAAGATGGTCTGGTCTATAAAGAGTGACTGAGAGAACATCACACAGACTGAGGTTACAGGTTAAAGGTGATACATGATAGTAATGGAAGGTTTATGTTTCGAACAGATTCACCAAACTGGCAGCTGAGGAGTACAGATGACGGCCATGAGTAAAATCAAGGCCGAGAGGGGGAGTGCGTAGCAAAGAACAACATAAACAAATGATTGACCCGCTGCCCTCATGCCAAGAGGGGACGTCTGACTAAATAGGGAGTGCAAGCATGTATTGGGGTAGGAGCTGAACACGCAGTAATCTCAATACATGGGAGCAACCTGATAGTAGTGCAGGCCTACGGATGACAACGATTCCTGGATCACTAGTGTGGACATCGTCCTCCCCAAAGCACACGCAGCGGACTCAGTAGTCCGAAGAGCTTAGTCGGCTGTGGTGCAAAGCTCATAAGCCTGGGTTGGACCCACCCTCGTGCAGCTCGGCCAGCGCCTGCGCTTGGTAGCGCTGGTAGGTGGCTATCGCTTGCAAGGCGGAAGCAGCCTGGTCCGTAGCTTTGCAAGCTCTGACTCCGGGGAGCAGAAACTTACAGGCTTTGGATGGGAGACGAGGCGGACCCCACCAAGAAGAGGCGCCGCGTGGACTAACCGCCATAGCGCACTCAACCTGAGGAATTGCCACATACCCCCTGGCCGCTCCACCACCAAGAGTGGTGAGGGTGGAGGGACACGCAGCACGAGCAGAAAAAAGTGCTCTTTAAGACCGCGTGAGCCTACTGTGCGTCACCGGGAAGAAGGGAACGCCCCTCTAGTCAGTCCGGCCGCGGAGCTGGGGGATAAACCATCTCCAACCCACGGCCAAGCAGCCCGGGAAAGCATGGCTAACACGTCCGTTTTAGTATCCGTTTTGACAGCGCTCACCTGCCCGAAGGAGGCGAGCGGGTCCGGATCTTCGTCGGACAATGAAAGCCCACCCTCCGATGCCGCGGGGGACATCTGATCTCCGGTGTCAGCGAGCGTGAGAGCTACCATCTGATTAGACGGATCACTCCCAGTACCCGAAGCTTGGAGGGATCGCTTGGAGGAGCGAGAGGTCCGCGAGCCCTTAGGCGGCGGATTATCTCTCGCTGGAACCCGTAGATCTGCCCGAGCGCCCGCTGCAGAGCAGGAGGCGACTAGGGTGGCTCGTTCTCTTACGAAAGCTAGCCGCGATCTCAACCGCGCGACGGTCATGGCATCGCAGTGACGACATGAACCGCCCCCGAGCACCACATTAACATGCTGGACCCCCAAACATGTAATGCAGTGAACGTGCCCATCATCCGGAGCCAGGAAACCCCCGCAACCAGAAACGCACAGTCAGAGCGCCGTCCTGAAAAGTGTGTTGCTCTTTTAGCTGCAACAATACGCACCGCTCTGGAGGACCGGACCCAAAGGGACGCCAGGCAAGGGAGAAACCCAGCTCGACCATCTGCCGCTGCGTGGACTCGCTCTGGACCGGGAGACACTCGTTCGCTCGAAGTGGCTGTAGATCAGCAGGAGGAACCGTCATGAACTCGATCAGAAAAGTCTCTGAAGCGAAAAGGATAGCGTTTGCTCACACCTGCGCAAGCTTGCGCTGCCAATTCATTGCTTTCATTGGTCCATTCAATACCCTTTCAGACAAGCGGCTTCTGAACCGAATCCTCCCATACGTGGATTTAGAACATCAAATCCACTTATAGTGCTGGAGTTCCCCCCGAAGGTGAACACCTCTTTTATACGCGTCTTGAAGCACATGTGAAATCAATCTAATGTAATTAAGCAGGTGTCGTCAGACCAGAGAGTATAAAAGCCTGTACTGAGCATTCAGTATCAACTTCTTTGCTTTCAAGAAGCACGCACGTGAAAATACACCCTCTTTCTGTGAACTTTCATTACTGATTTGCATTCACAAAATACAAAAAAACTGACAACTTACTTTTTTATTTTGGTATGGCAGAGAAAAACTTTAAACATTGTGTGCCTCCATGCCCTCGCTTTATTACGGCTGGTGACTCACATGATTTGTGTTTGGAGTGTTTGGGAGAAGAGCATGCCCTGGCAGCATTTGAGAATGCTGACTGTGGACACTGTGACGCTCTCTCCCGTAAAGAGCTGCGTAGTCGGAGGGAGTTCTTTAATAAAGCTCCCGTGGCGCACGCTCCTCGCGGTTCGGGTCCCGCTTGTGCTGAGGCTGAGCCTCGACTTCGGTCGTGGGGTTCGCAGCTAGATCTGGCGGATGAGATGGAGACGGACTCTGTCCTTTCTCTTTCTGGATCTGTGAGATCTAATCCTCCTTCGGGAGCGTCAGAAGCACGCTCTGCGGTTTCTTCTGCGCCTCGTGGGAGGGCGGCATCCTACGTTTCCGAGGAAACCGAGGCGCCGCAGCAACAAATACAAAGAGGGTCGGGGAATCTGCCACCCCAGTCAGTGGAATATGAGGAGTTAGTGGAGGTGATTTCACGTGCTGCTGACAGGTTTGAAGTAATAGATTGGCAGCCAGCACGTGAGCAGCAGCAGCTGCGTCTGACAGAAATGCTGGATGAGAGAGAATTACCCAGCAGAGTAGATCTTGCACTAAGGGACCTCCCCTTTTGTCCCGAGCTACATGATGCGGTTTCTAAATCATGGAAAAATCCGTATTCAGTACGGTTAATGACACCAAAAACAGCTATTTATTCAGCAGTTCGTGGGCTAGGGGAAAAGGCATGTACAGTAATGCCAATGATAGAAGAGGACTTAGCACGTCATCGTCGTCCAGATCTAAAATCTGCAAGGGTCCCTCCTTTGTTGTCGAGACCATTAAGAATAACATCGGGTCTAGTCGGCAAAGCATATATGACGGCTGGTCAGTCTGTTGGATGCCTGCACACCATGTCAGTGCTGCAGGCATATCAGGCTGACCTAATTAAAGACTGCCTAGATGGTGGGGGAGCAACACCCAAACAGCTTCGAGAAGCTCTTTGGGCGTCAGATCTAGAGCTACTAAAGAGGCTGCCTCGAGTTTGGGGCGATCTATGGCTACCCTGGTGGCTACTGAGCGGTACCTCTGGCTGACACAAGCAGAAGTGTCAGAAACCGATAGAGCTGTTTTTATGGATGCTCCAATATCGAGCTCAGGGCTATTCGGTGACGCCGTCGATTGCGTCGCCGAATCCTTCGACAGAGTTAAAAAATGCTCTAGCTCCCTCGGGGACTTTCTCCCCCCAAGATCAAAAAGTCAGGTGGCTGTTAAAAGACAGCCCCAGCCGTCAACCAGCTCCTCATATCATGAAGTACAAAGGATAAAACGAAGTCCTGACGTGTTGGGAGTCAGGCTTCCCAGGGCCCCCCCTGGACACCGAGAGCACCATTCAGTGCTCTCACTGAACCAGGGTCCGTGGAGAAAGGGAGAGGCCACCTCACCACTTATGTTGGTGGGGGGCTCTGTGTCTCCCGGGGTGGGCGTTCCTCAGTGTCTGAGGGCATTAGGGGCCCCACCCCCTCTGCGGGGGGGTCAAAGAACAACCAGAGGCCAGTCTCGAGAGGCTGGTACCCCTAGCACATTTTTTGGCAGCGTGGAAACACCTGCCGATGGTGTCCCAGTGGGTCCTGTTCACAGTGGAACATGGCTACAAAATACAGTTTTGTGCACGCCCACCTCGCTTCAACGGTATTGCACCCACCATAGTGAAGCCAGAACAGGCTCTGGTTATGGAACAGGAAGTACTGGCCTTATTTAAAAAAGGCGCAATAGAACGTGTTCTCCCACTCGACAGAGAGTCAGGGTTTTACAGCCGGTATTTTATAGTTCCCAAAAAGGATGGGGGATTGTGTGCCATATTAGATCTGAGAAATCTAAATCGGTCCGTCGGGGCCCTCAGGTTCAGGATGTTAACCATCAAAAACGTGGTGTCACAAATTCAGTCCGAGGACTGGTTCGTGACGATAGACCTGAAAGACGCATGCTTCCATATTTCCATCCTTCCCCAACACAGGAAATACCTGAGGTTCGCTTTCGGGGGCGAAGCGTTCCAGTATCGGGTTATTTCATTCGGCCTACCTCTGTCACCTCGAACCTTCACCAAAATAGTCGAAGCGGCACTAGCTCCACTTCGTATGCAGAGTATACGTATCCTAAACTACATAGACGATTGGCTAATTCTAGCTCAGACTCACGATATGGCAGTTCGGCATCGAGATGTCGTTCTCACCCATATCAGAAGGTTGGGGTTTCGGTTGAACACTGCAAAAAGTGTGCTTGTTCCAGCCAGGACGACCATTTTTTTAGGTGTGCTATGGGACTCCATGACGATGCGAGCACGTCTGTCCCCGCCATGAATCGCTTCGATTCAGTCAGCCGTACACATAGTCAAACTAGGCCAGTTCATCACTGTGAAACACTTTCAGAGGTTGTTGGGTCTCATGGCAGCAGCAGCCAGCGTGATTCCGTTCGGTCTGCTGTACATGAGACCCCTGCAGTGGTGGCTCAAATCCAGGGGGTTTTCCCTCAAGGGGAATCGCGGCGCTGCCTTCGAGCCTTAAGTATGTGGAAAATGCCCTGGTTCCTGTCCCAGGGCCCAGTGTTGGGGGCTGTCTGTCATCGCGTCATGCTTATGACAGATGCTTCTCAAACGGGCTGGGGAGCAACGGGCTTAATCCGCATGATCAAGGTCTCGCAGCGCTGCCTTCGAGCCTTAAGTATGTGGAAAATGCCCTGGTTCCTGTCCCAGGGCCCAGTGTTGGGGGCTGTCTGTCATCGCGTCATGCTTATGACAGATGCTTCTCTAACGGGCTGGGGAGCAACCCTGAGGGGGCTTCCCGCAGCGGGACGATGGGGAGAACATCATCGTTACTGGCACATAACCTGCCTGGAGATGATGGCCGTGTTTCTGGCCTTAAAACACTTTCTCCCAGATCTAAGGGGCCATCATGTTTTAGTCTGCACAAACAACACATTGGTGGTCGCTTACATCAACCATCAGGGGGGTCTGAAGTCTCGAATGCTATGCAAACTAGCACATGGGATCCTCCTGTGGGCCCAGAACAAAATCCTGTCCATCAGGGCAATGTATGTCCCGGGCCATTTGAACATGGGAGCAGATCTCCTGTCGAGGCAGGGGGTGAGATCCGGGGAATGGAAACTTCTTCACCCCGAGGTGGTGGAGACCATTTGGGGCAGATTAGGGAAAGCGCAGGTAGACCTGTTTGCTTCCCAAGAGACCACGCATTGCGTACTATGGTTTTCTCTCTCGCATCCAACCCCTCTGGGACTGGTTGCCTTGGTTTAGACATGGCCGAGGCTACATCTGTATGCTTTTCCCCCGGTCGCTCTGCTCCCAGGAGTCCTG